TACTACTTTCGTCACAAAAAAAATGTCATAATTTTATAGTTTAATTTTTTTAAAAGTTTAATTTTTAACATTTTTTTATTATAATAATAAAGAATGAAATTTTAAATATACCCTTTTATGATAGAATTACATATTTTTATAACTTCAGGTAATAAGGGTAAATTAAAAATATTAAAAAAATTAAACATTTGATTTTGAATTGGGACAATCAAAAAAGGAAAGTTGAACACATCTTGTGAGAGGCAGGGAGTATAAAGAAATGGCCCACACCTCACTTGTTGGATGGACAAGGATTCTCTCTAACCAAATTTCTCTTTTCAACTCTACAGTACTCAATCATGCGATTCAGATTCAGTCACATCATCATCTTATTCAACTTTATCTTTTAGTTGTAACAAAATTTTCAATCAACATAGAGTCTAAGATTGAACTGTAAAATTGAGGACTGTGGAATTCTAAAGAGATGTTTGGTTGGAGGGGATCTAATTTCAAGTTTGGATGTGGAATCCAATTCTCTATTATACAAGTGTATCATGTTTTATAACATTAGGCTGTTTTTCTCCGAGTATTTCAAAGTCATCATCCAATGATTATGAATAAGCCATGCCATCACTTTTGTTAGGACTTAGTTGTGTGTGTAATCATAATTTAATCGGTTGTTACAAGTGATGACATAAAATTGTTACAAGTGATGACATAAAATGTTCATATAGAATTTACTTGCGTAAATGTTCATAATCTTATATGATGGCTTGAATATATTTTGAGAGAAACATTGACGAAAAGAATTCATATCGGATTAAAATACATAGTAACGTGGGTGTTTGATGTAGACTGTTGTACAGTATGGTACTATGTTAAAAACAAAAATGCAATATTGGAAAATTAAATACGTTGTCCATAGGAGTATTGATATGTCTATTTTGTCTGATTAAAAAATGCACCACAAAAACTAGTACAAAATTTGGTCAAATTTCAATATGGGAGGTACAACAACATTTATATATATATATATATATATATATATATATAAAGATATAACTGCAACTTGTATTTTATACGGAGTATTTTTAAAACAATTGTAGAATGAGAAAGCTTGGATGGTCAGTGGACACTGGTTATAAAAGTAATGCGAAAGAAGGGGAAGAAAGTTTTCATAAGTTTCTACTTAAGAAAGTTCTTGTATCGGTTGTGTGTGTGTGTATATATATATATATATGTATATATTTATCCTGACAAATTAAAAAAGGAGAATCGAACATAGGTGCCCAGCTCGAACGTCCATAAACTAGATCCATTTTTTAATTGGGTGAACCGTATAACTTCACAAGGACCATGCTTAGTGAAAAAAGAATGAAAATTACTAGATTGAAATCTAGATTTATACTTTGGATTGCTTAAATTTTGCATTAATCTGTGTAATTGTTATACTTTCATAAATCAATGTGTGAGATGAACTTTGGGGGCCTAGGAAGATGTATTAAAATTGACTAAAATCATACAATCATTAATGGTACCAAAAAATAGGTATTCATATACTAGTGATTTATATAGCCCCACTAGTACACTAAAGAGATGCAATGCCTTGGTGATTAAAGTTTAAGCAAGGGGGTCATTATCCACATTTTAAGAGAACAACAGTGTCCTTTCTGCCCCTCTAAAATAATTGGGCTAGCTGCTCATAAATTGCGATTGTGAATTTGTGATGGAGGACTCTATCTAGTACGTGAAAATTGAATTCAATTCCATCATTCACTTTACTTGATTCAATTCATAAGATGTGTCGTTAGGTGATCGATTTAGACCGTTGTATAGTATGGTACAATCATACAATAACGGATTTCAACTTTATAATGTGTTAGTAATACTTCAATCATACCTGAGTTTACCATAAATGTAATATGAGAGAAATAAATACGTTGAAATACATATGGGTGTGATATAATTTTCTGTCTTCCTCAAATTGTGACTAGGACAAGAGGATAATGGATGTGTGCTTTATAAAAATAAAATTAAAAATTTGTACATTATGTTACTTGTGTAAGATATATAGTTAAACTATAAGATGAATGTTTACCACATAATCTGTAATTTAGTGGTATTTTTTTTCATCTACCAAAATAAAAGGAAGATGGCTCGAGTTCTCCTAGGACAATATAAGTTTGTGAGTTTCTTATCAAAAAAAAATAAGAATATTTTTCATCTATCAAATAAAAGAAAGAGGCCTCAAGTTCTCGTAGGACCAATACACGTTCGTGAGTTTCTTGTCAAAAAAAAAAAAAAACAAAACAAATAAAAAAAAAAAAACACACAACACACACAAATATAAATATTTTTCATTAATATTGTAATAGTCGACAAACTACAGGAGGATATCTGCATATTTTTTAAATGGTAGAAAGGAGTTTTGTGCAAAAATGAAAGTTCAGTGAATTTATTTACGAAATCACGGATGTTGGATAATTTTTATTTTTATTATTTATTATTTATTTAATTTTTATTTTTTCCTGCAGTTAAATCCTATGAAAATAAATAAGAAGTGCAATTTCAAGTAAAGCTTTTGTTTTGCGGGGTAAAAAAAGTACGAAATTTGATGCATATTGGGCAGCGCCAGGATAAGGCCCGTTGTCCGGACTTAAGAATCCGTCTATTCATAGTGGTCCGAGGTCACGGGAGGATCAATTGGGTTGCGGCCTTGAATATACAAGTACCATTCCCAATGATACAAGAATAAAAAATACTTATACATACTTCTCTATTTGTTTCGATTTTTTTTTGAATAAGAGTAATAAATATATATGTTTTATTTTTTAATATTTGACAAAGATCTAGATCAAGAGTGATGTTGAGTCCATTGAGTGGGGGTGTAAAATAATTTGTCAAAAATTAATGAGTAAATTATTTTTATTAAATTTTAATATTTTTTTTTCTTTGTAAATATTTTATGACAAAAAAAAAAAAAAAAAAAATTTTCTAAAAATTTTATATCTAAACAAACCGATCCTGAAATCTTGATTCCAACTTTAAACAGGTTGGTGGACAAAAACTTATGAAGCTCTGGCCCAAAATTTTCGACCTAATAAAATTTGGTTGAGCTCAGGCCGAGGGCTTGAGCCAATCAGGTTACTAATCGCAGATTACTAATAATATACTTATATTTGTTCATATTACAAAAATAAAGTTTTTCGTCTTTGTACGTCCGACACCACCCAACTTAGGCAACCTGAGCTCAAAATGTTGACATTTAGGCTAAATTGGAGTTAAAAATTCATAAATTCACCGCACACACCCTCGCATATACACACAATATATATATATATATATATATATATATATATATATATATATATATATAATGGTTGTATTTTAGTGAAATGTTCTTTACTTTCCAAAATGAAATATAAGTTCATATGAACAAAATGACTATGTGAGTTTATTTGCCAAAAAAATTTAGAGCATCTCCAACTATTATGCATATTTTTTTTTTTGTAAATCTGATGTGTTATGATGAATTTACACAAAAATTTTGTATTATTTAATTTTAGCTCCAACGTTTATTTTAAACCTTTTATGTAAAAATATATCTTCTAATGACAATCAATTATGTGTCATTGACATGGTGCTTGGAAAATGCTGACGTGGCAAATTCAGAGAGGCCTAATTTTAGAGATGCTGGTGAAGTTGCTCTAAGAGACAAGAAGTGAGAGAGACTTATCAAAAAAAAAAAAAAAGAGACAGGAAGTGAGAGAGAAAAGATGAGGGTCCAAAAAGAGAGAAATAATGGACCGCAGTGGCAAAATGGACTGTGATGATGGGTCTGTGGTAAAGGAAAAAGAAAGCAAAGAGAAGGTCTAGATAGAGACTTGTCAGTGGTGGAACCCGCTTGATAATTTGAATTTTCTTGGTGAATTCTCGCTGTTGGTGGTGTTCCATAGGTTGCTGAGGGGGAGGACATGGTGGTAAGGGTGTTTGTGCCGGGTTTAATTACAAATGAATTTTCTTTTGGAAGTTGTATTATTGTTTGAATGCCATAGGATAATTAATGATTTAATGCATCTATCGAGATTGTTGTCATTGTTCCCAAGATGGGAAACCCTGATTTTTTATGCCAACAGGATTTGAAACTGAACAGATTGAATCTTCATTGAACGAAATGATGGTTCAATAGAGATGGGTTAATGTTTAAATGGTGGGTAATGCACTTGGGTTTTATGTTGCCAAAAAGAGATGGATGTTTTGCCAGGACTCCACATAATTTTTACAAACTTACTTAATATATGGTTGATTCTTTAATGGAACGAAAAAGAAGGATGAGAAAGACAATATGTTGATCTGACAGTGTAAAAAGGTTGTAACACATTGGTGATGTGACAATGTATCTTAACAGATTGCTGGAGATGGAAAAAATTTACATATCATAGGTGGCAGTGTATATTTTACACAAAAAATTATTTTAACATACCACTGAAAATACTCTTAGTGGGATAGAAAGACTTTTATCTCACATATTAGAAGTCGAAAGTTCGAATCCCTTTGAAGCCATCTTAAAGAATTCCACAATAATTGCCATGTGCATATGGGACACGGGAACTACTAGGTGGTGGACTATTCATCAAAAAAAAAAAAAAATAAACCAAAAAAAAAAAGTAAACTTGCCAAAAAAAAACACATGAAAGAAAATAAAGGCAAAACCTTCTATTGCCAAATTTCTGGATTAAGCCACTTAGGCAGGTTTGATTTGATGACACAGTGGATGATGACAAGCAAAGCCCAATTGTAATCAAGCTTGGGCTGACATATACTCCCAACCCCACCAGTATTGGGGCCTGTATCAGTCCACAATCTAAATATTGTACCAAGTTCATGCACCTTTGCCAAAAGAAGTGGTGCAAAGAATCTTTTCGGTTTTAAAAGGAAACAATTTTAATGTATTTGGTTATATATATAACTATAACTATATATATATAATATATATATATAGGGCTAAATGGCAAAAAAAACAAGTGGTTGCCTATGTTGTCTGAACATCTTATAATTCATATGAACCACAAAGTCAACCATACCCCTTTTTATCAATTTCATACCCCCCCATTTCATCAGTTTGCTCTCTCTCTCTAAGTTTCTGTTGCAACTGCTGATTTTAACTTCCTAAACTCCACTTGGCCAGCACCAAAATTCTACATTATTAGGACACCTTCCTTTTTTTTTTCATTATTTGATAACTTTTCTGTTTAATATATATATATATATATATGTCTGTCTAGTCCCTCCTGAAAAGGCCTCTCAAAGCTTAGCAAAACAAATATTAATTCCACTACTCTCTCTAGACTCTACATTCTATAATCAGCTTTTTATATATGTGATATATATCAAGTCTCTAGCTCCACAAAAAGGGCTGTCGATCATATAATCAAATTTCTTCTTCTTCTTCTTCTTCTTCTTCTTCTTCAATTCATAGATTGAATGGAGGAGTCATTGAATAAATCCAGTGGTTCAAAAGCAACAACAGATGCTCCTGAAGAGAGTGGTTGGACAACTTACTTTGAAGATTTCTTGTCAAACCAAAGAGAACACAACAACAACAACAACTACTCATGTACTAATAATTCTGAGAGGACTACTTTTGGTACCCCTTCTTTGGTTTCTGATGCTGCTTCTTGTGTTGCATGGAAGGCTGCGTCTCATATCAATCACGTCGACGGATCGCCAAAGTTTCCTCACAAACTATGTTTCAAGAAGAAGAGGACGAAAGAAATTTCTTACGACGATTCGTTGGAGGACACTGCTAGTTCTCCTGTCAATAGCCCCAAGGTCAGAACAGCCCTAGTACTGTGTTATTCCCTTTCTTGTCATTCTTGTATATTCTTATTTTTTCAATATTATGTTGTATTGAAATTATTGAACTTTGTCAATAGGTTAGTAGTTTGAAACAAATGGATATTAATCCCAAAAGGAGAGATGACAATATTGAGAGATCTTTGGTAAGTTGATGTTATGTTTGTTTGTATATATATGGTGTTGCTTAATTATTTAATTTTGGTATATATATAAATTTTTAAAGATAAGTGTTTGGTTTTAGATTATTGTTCATGTCATAGCTAAAATTAATTTTGTTGTTAAGTTTTGATGTTTTTGTAGGGTAAAGGAGGAGGCTGTGATCATTATTCAGAATTGCAGACAGATGATGATGATGATGATCAAAGAAATGAAATGAATTTTGATGGGAAGAACAATGACTGCACAGACTTGAAGAAGAAGGGGCTGTGCTTGGTCCCTCTGTCCATGTTAGTCAACTATCTTGGTTAAAATCTCTCTCTCTCTCTACACGTGGCAGGATATACAAAAATGTATAGGGTTAATCATAAAACTGGTGTGATAATGTTGTTGACTACAGTGAGATTGTTACTTGTCTTTCATGCCATCTTTAATTGATGCAGATTCGTGTTTAAATTTTTTATTCTACACTTTTTTTTTTTTGAAAGTTATCTACACTTATTTTTGTGACAGCAAAATGGAAATTGTTTTCATTTCTGGAAAAAAAATAAGCAAATTATCTATGGTTATAAAATCGAGTAATAGCCTTTATGAGGATAGATGAAATCTTATAAAAGGCATATGATACCATGTTAATCACTGTCTATTCTATAAACTTTAGCTATTTAACAAGGTGTAACTTTAATATATATTTAAATCTTCTAACACTTTGTGAGAAAACAAAGGCATGAATCATTTTAACAAGAGTGAGAGAAGCTCAAGGAATCGAATTAGGTTAACATTGGACCGCAGAGCCACCAATAGTTTAAGAAGTAATAATTATATATTAATTAAACTATAATTAGCAGGAGTGAGCAACTTGTATTAAAGTATTTATCTATAATATAAATTTATCGATTAAAGACATTCTTCCTCTAAGGAGTATCCTGTCAGAAACCCTAAACAGCAAAAAGAACAACCATTTGTTCTGATATGTTTTTAGTACTACCTTATTTATAACCCCTACTCTCTAGCTGAACTTTGGCTGTATTGGACTTATAATAGTAAAAAAAAGAAGTATGAAACCAAATTTAATTTGGACACAAGAAAATATTAAGCTGCTGCTACTCAGCATTTTGGAAACATTTGAAAGTTCTGCGTTTGTTTTCAAAAGCAAGGAAATCAGTAACCAAATGATTGCTTTTTCTGTGTAATTATCGGATCCATGGAAGTACATATGATCAGCAATGTATGTATTCGTAGTCGTGGTGCTTTACTGATGAGTGGTGGTGGTGGTGGTGATCTTAAATTATCAAAAGTAAATGCAGTAATTTGAAATATAACAACAGTTTTTGTTGCTTCCATGGTGGAAGCAACATCATCTTAAACAATTGGTCCATTATATACGAACCATTAAAATATGAGTAAATGCTGTGTATATCAGTAAAATCTGCTTTCAAAAGTAAGAAAAGTAATCTCACAAAGCAATTAATTAAACAATATTTATCCTTTTGTATGTATTGTTTTTTAACCTTTAACACAAAAAATAACAATTATTTCTTCAAAAAGAATATGCCACTGCATCGATTAATTATAATAATATTCTTTATACATTTATTCAAGTGGGTATGATCTCACAAAGCAATTAAGCAACATTGATCCTTTTGTATGTATTGTTTATATAACCATAACATAAAAAAACAACAATTATTTACTTCAAAAAAGAATATGCCAGTACTGCATAGATTAATTATAATAATATCCTTAATACATTAATATTCAAGTGGGAATATGAGAGCCATATTCCACAACAGAATCCAAAAGGATATAAGTTGCTTGCACCCACAAAGCAAACAATTAATATTGAAAATAGAAATTAAAAAAGAATATATATATAGTAGATTGATATAGATTTTAAATATCAATTTATCTCCTACCTCTTGCAGGCCATTCATTTAAAAAAAAAAATTCAAAGAAGACCGCTCCATGTGCATATACGTTAAGGCAGGTGAGCACAAACGACTCAAGAGTTGGTTAATTTAGGACATTTAGCAAAAGTCCTCTCCACGAATTCCATTGGTTGACTCTAATTCATATTCTTCTAGATCATTTAAGTCCCTTATATTCTAATCATAATGGATGATGATTCGTGTGTGTGTGTGTGTATATATATATATATATATATATATAACAATAACAATGACTGTAACAAATGAATTCATGGAACATCCGATTTCTGTCATTTCCACATTCTCAGCAACCAAACAAAGCATTATAACTCAGAAGAGTAGGGTAACATGTGTTCTCACAACTTCTATTTTCCATTTATTTATTGAAGCATGAATATATTTTCTTTCTTCAAATCTTAATTAAATTTACACCAAGAGTAAACACGTAGAGCACCAAACACCAAGAAGAGTTTTTATGGCTACCACTGATTGATTTGGTCAATATATATCAATTATTCAAGCTAGATCAAGCATGTGATCATAAATTATATATCATATTTTCAGTAATAATTTAATTTTGAGGATAAGCTCGGTTTGACGAATTTGTTTTTTGCATCTTGAATTATTGGACCATGAGATGAGAAAATCACGAGTTGGATGGTTGGATTTAGACGCGAATAATTAAGCATAGGATAAGAAAGATGTTATTTCATGAACATTGGCTTTAAATTGATTAGCAAGTGCAAGTAGGTGATCAATCATGTTGTTTAACAACCTCTAATGATGTGATTTGTATTTGGGAGGAGGTGGATCACAGGTCTAATTCTTACATGGTAACAGTTATAAATATAGATAATTATATACATATATACCATCATCATGTGTTTGTTAAGACTTTTATCCCCGTGAAAAAGTCCTCTCAGTGAAAGAGTAGTACTCATCACTCTTCCTAAATAAGGATTAATTTGAACCTTATTTCTAACCTCAATAATCAGCCTAATTTTATCACTCAATGAGAGAAAAAGATTCTCAATTGTGTTCTATCATCACGTCATTATCATTAAAGTGACTACGGCGTTGATTATTTGATTAGAAGTTATAATTGTATTATACTCTAATAATACGTGTTGGCTTTAATTTTCATGACTTTAATTTGAAATTACTGGACCACTTGATTGACAGTGATTAGGGTCATGTCATCACACTCTTTACTTTCTTTCAAGCTCCTAGGATAGATGTGTATCCACCATTGAGGGTTTGGTTGAGCATTCAAGGGGTTCTTGAGTCACATTTTTCCTACTGAAGAACTTCATATGTAAATCATTTTCTATTATGGTAAGAAAACTTATGAAAATTTCCCTCTGGTTAGTTTGGAAAGGAGGAAAGTAAAGAAATGAATCAACAGATAAACAAAGCACTTAGACTCCCTTTGTTTCGACGTAAAATGTTTTTTTCGAAAAAGATTTTTCTTTTTCAAGTAAAATATTTTCTTTATTTTGTTTTTCGGTGTTTAACAAAGGTAAAAGTCGAGATTGAGACTGAGTCCATCGGACGAGGTATGTAAAATAATTTGTCGAATATTAATGAGTAAGTTATTTTTGTTAGGTTTTAGTAATTTTTTTTCTTTGTAAATATTTTATAACAACTAAACAACAGGAAAAAAAAAAAAAAAAAAAAAAAAAAAAAATTTACATTCAAACAAACTAGCCGCAAAATTATTACCAAAAAAAAAAAGTGAATTAGGAATTTCTTATCACTCTCTCAACTCAATTTGGTACAAAATTATCCCGAGTTAGCATTTTTATTCATGGTGTCCTTGTTAGAGGTTAAGCTACTCTTGAGTCGTAGTTGTGTTGTCTGGTTTGGAGAAGACAAACAGAAAAGAGTTGTTATTCACCAACTGAATTGGATGGCTGAATTATATTCCAAGTTACTTTTCCTTGTGTAGTCATTTGTCAATATTTGCAACCAAACACTGGGCATGTCCAAATTGTCAATGGTCCTGGTTAGACAGCCGAGCCACCTGTAAGATACAGCCATTGAGTCCATTTGAGTGTGTAGGATAACCCCCAACATTTTAATAAGAGGGCAATATTTAGTGGCCTAATTAGTAAGCGCGTAGAGTGTTCAGCTCTCGACCGAGTGTGTCGTGTATGGCCACTCTAATTTGTCAGAAAAAAAAAGATACATTTATAGAGAAAGCTTCTCTGTTCTAAAAAAACATGAAAAGAACTTGGGAAGTGTGTACCTATATAAATTATACTCCTTAACATTTTTGAAGACTGTTTAAGGGTTTTGGGTAGGGACGGTTTATATTATAAATTTACTATTTTACCCTTGCATTAGAATCTCTAATACTCCATTGACTTTAAATTTGAGACAGATGGAGTATAAAAGAAATGTCCCTATGACTTCTGTCACCAATCCCAAATCATAAATAATTTAGTTTCTAATTTTTAAAGAGAACTTTTAATTTAAGACAGAGGGAATACAAAAGAGGCGTCCGTGACTTATGTCACCGATCCCAAATCATAAATAATTTAGTTTTTAACACATATAGTGTAGCTCAGTTGTTGTTAATAATACCAGTTGCTTCTATGAAAAAACCTGGAGCTGGCCTCGATTTGGGTCCCCGTGAATTGCGGGTGTTTGTCAATGTATTGATTGCTCATCAAGGGATGCAAATTATGTTTTGGATTAATAGGCATGTGCGATTGACTATGTTCAGATATGATAACTTGTGTTTTATGTTGACATTATCCAACTATATTCTTAACTTAAAAGAGTTGTGGTCTATGGTTCAAGAAAAGAACAAAGTGAAAAATAAAAGCAGAGCTCAGTCATTTACGCCTGTGACAAGGGAATAATAGTTAGTGACTTTTTTTATATATTTTTTTGGAACAAATATATATATATATATATATATATATATATATATATATGTCTATTACATGGATGAATAATAGTAAGTTCTATAACTGTATATTTAGATGGCCGGCGTCCAACAAACTCTACATTAATACATATTAAAAAATACCACAAAATCTTATAACCGAATCCCATTTATATATATATATATACACACACACACACACATATATATATATAAGTATGTTATGAATGTGCGCGCGCGCGTATAGATATGGTTAGAGAGAGGACACGAAATGGCCTGCATTCAATCATTTGACACTCAATAATTAGCGTGACATCATTCCAATATTATATGAAGTCTATTGCCGTAGTAGTGTAGGTATGAATGTATGATTCTTCACTTTAAATGACAATCCTAATTATTGGGAATATATATATATATATATATATATATATATATATATATTATTGAAGAAGCTATGCCAATGGACCAACTGTTCTAATTGGGATGATGTTTATTGACACCATTGGTGTGTTAACAGCTCACAGGCACTATGTCTCGGTCGAAATAAGTTTACCTAAATCAAAATCCTCTGTTTCCAAATCAATAGCTTGGGTGGGTGGAATAGTGATACTAATGCCAATCAATTTTATGAATACATATAAGATATAAAACAGAAAAAATAAAATAAAATAAAATAAAATAAGAAAACAACTCCATCAACTCTCAACAAAACCAGACTGTGTAAAAAAAGGGCTAATTTACAATCAATCTATCAATTGATTGCAAATATTTGCAGTATACATACTATAATCATAACTTGATTTTGGACTTGCATTTGGACTCAACATCTTGAGTCAGAACAATAATAGAAATGTCACACGTGCTAAGGATCGTCGCACGCGTCCTAAAGATCTTAAACATGCTCACCTTACCATGCATGGTAGCCATTGACGTCAAGTTAAAGCGGCCAGCAGCAACATCATCCCAGAAATGGGGACTTGACACCATCTTATCTGCTGTGATGTTTGCGTAAGTGGTGATATTGAGTTTGCTCCGCGCAGGGATGGTTTCGTGTTCGATAGGAACTTCAGCTACAGTTGTGCCATAGTAGCTGATATAGGCTGTTGTGTTCTTGTATTTGAAGCTCCCATAGTTTGGATTGTCAATGGTGACCACTAACCCTAACGTCACATTTAGGCTTGGAGTAGGCACGACTTGGACCTGAATGTTTTCGAGACTTGCAGGGTGTGCAGTGACTTGTGGTTGTTTAGGCTTCAGGACAGTGAGGAACAAAGTGACACAAACAATCACAATTATGGCCAAGGAGATCACAGTCACACCACAGCAGATTTTGAGCCCTCTACGTGATCTTTTGTCGCCAGACATGTTATTTGATTTCGGAGTTTGAGAAAATTTGAAGCCTAAAACAGGTGTTACAAGTAAACTTCAGTGTGCATTACAATGCAGATCAATTGGTCACTGTATAGATTAGTATGAGGCATGTATGCCATTTAAGTAAGTTTTTGCAGCTCTTATTTTATTTATTTCCGACGACGTAAATGGGATGTTGAAGATTTAATCTATAATTAAGTTGGACAAGAAGAGGGATGTGCAATGTGGTTTGATTCTGTCTTTTGTAATTATGGTGTTTGTATTGATTGAGGTTTGTGTAAGTTTAGGTTAATTATCAAAGGTTCGACGTTAATAGATAATAGGACATGAACTAAAAGCCAATATTTTGCTCTGTGGCCAACTTCGTCACGGAGATACAATTTTATATATTTATTATTATATCTGTCTGCGTGATGAATTAATGAAGAAATAGTATATAAAATAGGCAAATTTTGATTTTTTGCTTATCCAGAAATCTGACTACTATTGTGTCAGAACATTGTTATATACTGTACATAATAATAATCCATGTAAAATGGTCAAATAAACATTATATATACACAAAGTATCAAGAAAAGAATCATTTTAAGGTCACAAGTTTCTACAATTACTTCATTCAATTTCACATTTCTGCTGCAACACTAAACCTCTGGGCTTTTTTTTTTTTTTTTTAAACCTCTTCAAAGAGGATTAACAGGTTGAATTTTTCTGAAGTTGTAAGATGCAGTAGTCTCATTTTTTTTCGCTATTATGTGGGATAAAACCTTGGGTTGATCTATATGAAGCAGAGCTTCCTACAAATTATGCATTTAAAAGTTTTTTAGAACATAGAACTGTGTTAAAAAACGCATTGAAATGTGGACAAATAATTAACCGTTGTAGTCAACCATGGGTCGGAAATGTGCGTGAATTATGCTCTATTTGGTTGGAGAGATAGAGGGTCAGAAATGTGTGTAAATTATGCTCTGATTGGTTGGAGAGAGAAAAATAAAGAAAAATAATTTTAAAGCCCATAAGTTACACAAAATTGCTTGACTGAATGTACTTAAGTAGCCATGAATGCAAAATATAAGGAAGTGAGATCCACCACTTCATTGTATCTCGTATAAATGACCAAATTAAAAGTATTCGATCAAACAATTCTATGCTCAAAAATAAATATAAATGGAAGGAAGAGGGGGATGGAAGATGAGGCATCTCCAGGGAAGCTCACTTTTTGTTTGGTGTCAGGAATCAGCGTTAGGGTGCTTGATTCATTCTTTGAACACCAAAATTTGCTCAAATTTGGACTACACCCACCAAATAGTGCATGAACTAGCTATAATTGTTACGGATTTTTATATATTTTTATAATTTTACACTTTAAACGCAACTATTTTGAGTAAATAGAAGTAATTTTACATATTGGGATGAAAATAGAAAACAATGTTGAATCTTAAAAGATTTACCAACAATACAAATGCGTACAATGAATAAATAATAGACATCATAAAAACAAAGTAAATATATAATGAAAAAAAGAGTAAAAAATTTTTTGGTTAAGCTCTCAGCCAAATGTCCCCCATGATATTCGACCATAAAATATGTAAATATATAAAAGTAATGAAAGAACAAAAGAGATAAAAGTAGAGTCAATATATCAAAACACAAATAAAAGCAAGCTTATATAGATAATAGATTAGACACCTTGTAACGGCCAAAGTAAATAATAAATAGCCAAATTAAATAGAATAAATAGGCCAACATAAACAAGCCCAATAAATTAAAATAAATACGCCATTAACATAAAAATAAATATGCCCAATATAAAACTTATGCAATAAAGAAGTTCAAAAACTTCTCAAGCTATGGGCCAAATTCCACGTGGCTATTTTTCCATATATAAGTTCCAACACGTGTTTGGACTGGGCTAAACGGGCCGGACCAATTTAAATGGGCCGACAAAACCGACAACTTGTAAAATTGCCATTTTGCTTTTTTGTGTTTGGTGGAAACAACTAAGTAACCAGCAATATCCTGTTTATTCTCGTCGTTTTCATCATCTTATTGTCTCCGGCGGAAACAATGCATAAACATCTCTCACACTGTCACGCACGCACATTAATAAATATTTAATGAGTAAGGATAGGCCACGCTAAAGTGAAAACACAAAAAATACTGTCGAATTTGATTTGGTTAAGTTACATGAGAATTAAAAATTCTCTAAAATTGAATATATATAATATTTCTCATCATCACCTCTTGTAAAGTTAATTTTGATCCTTACTTTATTTCTAAAAGACAAATATGTTTTAATATAAATTTTGAAATAATAAATATTTGATTTATACAGAATAGATAATATTATATTTGTATAGTTTTATGAATTTTTATTTTATAAATTTAAATTTATTAAACACGGAAATAAGTTTTCGTTGCTTATTTTCTTTTACTCTCTCCATCTAATTTTGTTTTTAATTTTTTTTATTTATTTTTCTTTTTATTTATATCATTATAAAAGAGGACTTTTCTTTTTTAATTCTGAAGCCAAATCAGATTAGGATGTTTTTGCGTTCTCTCTGTCATTACTCATATTTAATATATTATGTACAGTTTTTTATTTTTTTCTTTTTGGCGTATGTACAGTTCATAACAGGGGATCCCATTGTTTAGCTTCTTTGTTTGTCAAACCGCATCACCTTTACTCCCTCTTTCTCTCTCTGAACACTCTCTCTCTCTCTCTAAACTATCTTTCTCTCTCTAAAGCTGTTCGATCAAGATGAACAACCTGCTAACGGTAATGTAATTCTACTTTTTCATCGATGTGATTCAATCTTCGTGACTTGTATATGTATTTTGTTTGTTGATAGTAGTAGAATTTGATCAGTGTGATCTGAAACTGCAATTGAATCAAATATGGAGTATTTTGTTGTTCAGCCCCCTTTTCTTTTTATTGGATTCAGTGGTGAGTTGTTCTTTCGATTGTCGTTTAAATGATGTTTGGAAGTAGGATTGATGTTGCCCAGTTTGGATTTGTCACAGTTGCTGTTAAAAGCTTTGAACTTTTTTTTAAAGGGTCTTTGTGCCAATTGAATTTTTCTGAGAATACCCAGTGATTCCAAATAGATCCTTTTACTCCGAAGAAAATGGAGTTCTTAGTGGTAATTTTTATGTTGTTCTCCCCCCCCCCCCCCCCCCCCCCCCCCCCCAACAAATTGTGACTTCAGATAAGTGAATTTGGTTATATAAATTGTTCTTTTGAGTTGAAGGTTTGGTTTTTACACTTCCAATTGATGGGGAAAAGAGAAACTAAGGCTCCATTTGGAATGAAGAGATGTGTGTTTGATAATTCAAAGGATTATAGCATAAATTTAGGGCTAGCCCAGTGCACTAGGCTTCCGCCATTGTGAAGTTTGGGGAGGGTAAGATGTTCACAACCTTATCTCCACATGGAGAGGCTGAGGCTTTTTAAGCTTTCGAAGTGACCTCAGGTCACAATGGAGAAACTTTACCAATAAGGCAAGGCCCGCTGTCATTATAGCATAATTTTTGATTGACTAATTTAGATTCAAGTTTTAATAATGATTTGAGAGCCTTATACGTATGATATTCAAATAACAAGGCGGAAGGAGTTATTTGAAATCCATGCCAACAAGTATTCTAGTTGAACAATGAACCCGTGACCTCAGGTCACAATGGAGAAACCTTACCAATAAGGCAAGGCCCGCTCTCATTATAGCATAATTTTAGATCGACTAATTTAGATTCAAGTTTTAAATAACAATGGAGCCTTATATGTATGATATTCAAATAACAAGGTGGAAGGAGTTATTTGAAATCAATGCCAACAAGTATTCTAGTTGAACAATGATTGCAATAGATTTTGTCTTTCTTACCTCTAATCTAATATCCTCTTGAGTTTTGAAATGCAACTTTAATTTTTTATTTTTTGTTTTTTAAATTCAAATCTGTTCATTTGGTAAATGGAGCATAAGAATCAACTGAAAATTCCCCACTCCCACCACTGCATTTCCCTGCCCAAAGACAAAGTGTACTTATAATCTAGTTATGAAAGCATTAGCTTAATGATTTGATTGATTGCTATAGCATCTTTCTTTGAGGTTTTCTGAATAATTTTTCACATGATAATCTCTTAAATCGAATTGGATTTGTGGACGATTTGTTGTTGGTAATCTATTCCTTATTCAAATTAAAAAAAATATATATTTGGTTTTCTAGCTCATACTATGGAGACTTCTGATTTTGTGTGCATTACTGTTTCAGGATTCATTTGTCAGTGAAGCCAAAAATCATCCTTCGAGAGAATCGGATATTGAGATGGGTACACGGCTTCCAAGGAGTAACTCGGACTTGGGAATGGAATCTTTCAATAAGCAGGTACATCAGTCTGAGATACTTGGACATTTTGATATTTAATTGGACATAGTTCTCATTCTATCTTGCTGGTTGTTTGCATTTTTGAAATTCAAAAGGCATGACCTGAACAAAATCCTTATATTATATAGGGTTAGGGGGGATTCCAAGGAACAGGCAAATTTTATACTAAATCTAATACTGTATTAGTCATTAATTCCTTCAACCCTTTCACAGTAGCCCCCACCTCCAACCCTCCAAAACAAAAGGCGATATAAAAATAAACACCAATACATGTTTTCTTTAGTCTTTTTATCTTACATGACTTTTTATATAACATGCTTGCCTCTCTTGTGGTTTTTCTTTATGGTGCAGATTCAAGAGGTTGATAAACAAGTGGATAAGGTTTCTGGTTTGCTTAAGAAACTTAAGGTATGGACGATACCCAACCTAGACTGCTTTATGTTGTATTGAGCCTTTCAGAAGGCTTCCAATTTTCAGTTCTATTTTTTCAAGTCTCCATGTCCCTGTAATTTTTAGCATTAACTAACGAGTATTGACCATCACATAATTTGAAGCTAAAGATATATATATTTTTACTTATATCGTTACTTAAAACAGTTAGATACTACAAGAACTTATATTTGCCCTATTATCTTAAAGTGGAACAATGATCGGACTAGGAAAAGGATCAGTACAAGGCGTTGCTTCAACTGTGCTGTTTATTAGCTCGATCACCAATGTCTAAAGCTGGAAAAATGAATACTAAGGGCTCGATCACCAATGGAATGAAATAAAGTGGAATGGCATGCTTTTAATTCCATTCTTTTGTTTGGAAAGTAATTTTAAAGATGAAATGCCCATTCTCCACCTTTCTTGGAGAATGGTCATTCCATCAAAATCATTCCACTTTCCAACAAGAGGAATGGACATTCCATTCCCCACTTAAAAAAATACGGAGTAAAAATAATATTAAAAATCGCTTTACTTGAACGATGATGCTAGCACACTTTTCTCAAACAACGAGATCCAATAAAAGTCAACTTTTTCTTGATATTCTCTCCTCAATTTTCAAATATACATTGAAAATATTTATTTACGCATATATATTTATTTCTTTATTTATTTGGTTTACATATATATAGATTAGTTTTCTTTTTTAAGCCATACATAACCAATCGAGAGAATGGGAATGGTCGTTTCATTCTCATTCCATTCTCATTCCATTTTCTAGTTCATTCCATTCCTACCTTATTTCATTCCTCAATATCAAACTAGCCCTAAAAAGATTTAAAATAGAATTTTTTTAAAAATTGTGTGATATAATGATGTCTTTATTAAAGTAGCTAGTTGGTGTGAGACAGTTTGATAGGGTGCCCATTTGGTGGAGGATAGGACTGGGTCCCTTCAAAAACCATTTGGAGGGTCATAATGTACTATTGTTTTAGTGGTGATTTTTATTGTGGGTAATTTGGGTTTTATGGGAAACGGTGTTTTCCAGTCACTGCCTTCACTTAAGGTAGGAAAGAATGCTAATCACATTTTTCTCCATTTTGCAATTACTTGTGATATGTGGTGTATATTGTTTTTCCGTGTTTGGTGTCTATTGGATGATACCTTAATATGTGAAGGAGTGTAACGACCCACTCAATCACATACTATGATATTGTTCGCTTTGGCCGTGATAGTGTTGTTAAAGGCGCGCTTAGGCTTGAGACGCAGGTCTAGCGCCTGTTGTCATTCCAGGCTCATTGATATTTGCTAGGCGCGCGCCTTGGTTGCGCCTTGTTACTGTTTGTCAGGCGCGCCTCATTGATTTTTTTTCTAAGAACTATGATTGTTTTATTTCTTAAGCTAAAAAAATGTACTTTTGGCTAGGGTTGCAACTGGGGCGGGCTAACCCAGCCCAGCCCAACCCCAACCCAGAGATTTTGAAATTTAGACATACAATTCACAAATCGGGTTCATGTTCGGGTTGGGTTTTGTCAAAACCTAGACATATTCAGATTGGGCTCGAGCTCAACCCGAACCCAACCCGAAACCCGAAAAAAAAATAAATAAATAAAATTTTTTCTCTTTCTTCTTTCTCTCTCCTCTCTCTTCTTTCTCTTTCTCTCTCTGCCCATACATACAATTTAGCAGTTAGCGGCTGAAGCTTGCGATGGAAAGAGAGAGAGAGAAGCTTGTGATGGTGATATTAAAAAACTCGCATCACATGTCAATTATATATTTAAAGGCTTAAAAACATTAAAGGCCGCTATTAAAGTATATAGGGATTGATATTGAAAAAGTCCGAAGAGAAATGTTTCAATTTTCAAATTGTCCCATGGTGATAAGAATGTCGTTAATTGAAGTTTACCAAGATCTGGGTTTTGATTTTTTGAACAATCTTGGAGAGCTTGCGATGGAAAGAGAGAAAGACAGCAGCTGAAGCTTGCAATGGAAACTGAAAGATCTGGGTTTTGATTTTTTGAACAATCTGAAATGATATGCCGATCTGCTGGGTTTTGATTTTTTGAACAATCTGAAATGATATGCCGATATGGGTTTTGAACTTTTGATTCTTGCAGACAGACAGATAAAACTGAAATATATGGGTTTTGGACTTCTGATTCTTGTAGATTTTGTAGGTTGCAGTTGGAAAGAGAAAGAGAGAGAGATAGAGACAATAAAGATAGAGGCGATAGGGGAGGCTGAAATGATTTGCCCTAAAAATATTTTGTTTTTTTTATAATAATATAATCAAATATTATATTATATATATATATATTATATATATAAATTTCCAATAATAAAAAAAACCCAACCCGTCAACCCGACCCAACCCGTCCGAAAATATTCGATCCGGGTTATGACTATAACCCATGTTGAGTACAATTCGGGTTGGTACAACCCAACCCGATTCGGGTAGAGGTTGGATTGGGACTGGGCTGGGTTGTACCAGCCCAAGTTGCAACCCTACTTCTGGCAACTTAATAGACAAATAAGAAAGCTCAAGCGTACGAGAGAAGAAACTTTTGTTCAAAAGAATAAACAAATAAGAAAGTCTAAGAGTAAAGTGTTAACCGAACAGAGAAAGAATAAGATCATGAGACGAACGACGAAGCCCTAGTTGCAAAGATGAACGACGAAGCCACGTCAGTTCTTTCTTCTTCTTCTCTCTTCTCCTTTACTCCTCTCTTCTTATCTTGTTTACATCTCTCTCTTCGTCTAGTTCTTTTTTTTTTTTTTTTGGTGGGGGGGCTTTCTCTCTCTTCATCTACATCTTTTGTCTCCGCGTCTTTTTTTTTGGCTCTGTTATTTCTTTTCTTTTCTTGTTAACAGGTTTTTTTTTGTTAACAGATTTATTTCTTTTTGTGCTCTGTTTTGCCATTCAAAAAAATAAATTATGCTTTGCTTTTTAAGAAAACAAATTTGTGCTTTGTTTTATGGTAGTTGGATGCTTGTTTAGTTGATGGGTTTACTTTTTTATATTTGATATTAATTTTTAGAATATTGATATGACTTATGAGATATGAATGTTTTTATGGTAGTTTAAATTTTCAATTGTGTGCCTCACTTCACTCAGACGCGCGCCTAGGCTCCAAAGGACCTTTAGCGCCTTGAGCCTTTAATAACACTGGGCCTAGCCCGCATGGTTTTGTTTTTGGGTTTTATCCCAAAAGACCTCATACCAATTGGAGTGTACAAATCCTACATATATAGCACTTCCCCTTTTCACACCCAGGCAATGTAGGATTATGTACCTATAGCTCGCCCAATATGGTAGCCTGCTAGTATCTCTTGTACCCGCCCACAAGGACGCCACAATTACCCCCTTAGGAGCCCATCCTCGTTGGCTACACTTCTGGCTGGGTCAGGCTCTGATACCATTTGTAACGACCCACTCCATCACATGGTATGATATTTTCCGCTTTGAGCCTGAGACTGCACAATTTTACTTCTGTGTTTTACCCCAAAAGGCCTCATACCAATTGGAGTGTACAAATCCTATATATATAACACTTCTCATTTCCACACCTGTGGGATTGTGCGCTTGTAGCTCGCCTAGTGTGGTAGTCTGTCAGTGCCTTTTACACCCACCCACGGCACACCCACCCACAAGGTTGCCACAAGGAGCTTCTTGGCTATTAGATTGGAGGTTGTTTAAGTGAAAAAGTCTTTCAAACTTGATTGATTTTTGTCTCGTATGAGGGGGTGGCGTGTAGAAGTAGTGAAACAGGCATACTGTTGAGAATGTGGAGATAGTAAACTATATGGCTAGGTAAGTGCTGATAAATACTTTTCAATTTTAGATTTGTGGAGGTTCCATATATCTCTTTTATAGATTTTGTTAGAGATTTGAGTTGTATAGAGGTAGCTTAGTTTTGGAGCAGTATACTTTATTTGTAAGCTTTATAAAACTTGTTAGTCAAGTAAAAACTTCTAAGAACTTTACTACCAATAAGGAACTAAATAGGATTCTGTTTTCTTAAACAGGAAGTATCCAAGATCACTTCCAGCGAAAAAGTAAATTCATTCTAGATCCTAAATATGCTTATCAAACCTCGAAAAAGTAATATCTTGGCCTAAATCTTAGATCAAACCACTTCAAGCTTTCAACTAACCAGTGAGTCTTTATTTGTTCTATTTTTTAGTTTTGTTTTTGTTTTTGTGTTGTTTTTTTGTTGTTGTTGTTGTTTTAATTTAGATCTAACATGTAATTGTGGTTTGAATAATTATGTGTTTTATGTCATAATTTTTGTTAAATTTGCATTTAAATCTTTATTCATTTTATGTTTGTCCCTTTTGTCTCGTTAATTTAGTAAAGAGAATGAATTACTAAGCCATTGGATACCAATAACGTCATTACTTGTATTGAATGATCTTTAAAAAGTTAACAAAGATAACTGAAATTCATTATGTTTATTGGGTTCAATAGTAAAAAAAATTGTATATCGGTCACTTTTGGGCCTTGTGTGAGTGGTTGAAAAGAATTCACGACCACGACTACCTATTCCGTTATGTTAAACCTAATTCAGGCCCGCATCTGTTACACCATGCCCATGTCCGTGTCTTCGAACCTTATAAGGTTTAAGCCTTCACATGCTGCAGTTCTAAAGCCATTGTATGGCTCTGTTCAACAGTAATAACACTGTAAGCTAATTACAAACATAGAGGGATGATAAGACTTGGTAGATGCTCCAAGTGCGAGTGTTTTGTGTAGCTTCTGCAAGGGAGAATCTTACTTTTCCTTAAATTAGTAATGACTCGTTAATCTTTCTAAGCCAATTAGTGGGTTTTCCATTCTTCTTTTTGGTTGGCTTGCATTTTTTGGGGAGTGATCTCCATTCTCTAGAACATCTATGAACTTGAATCCAGCGGTTTTCATGATCAAATTTACCAATAGAAGTAAAAACCACCTCATCTGTGTACAATTTGACACAAAAATAATTAATGTAAAAAGGGAAAAAAGTAGAGAGAGAGAGAGAGAGAGAGAGAAATGAAAAAGAGCACTAGCAGCTGAACATGGGGATATCCCACTAATTTATGGGTCTATGCTAACCGAATGATACAGGAACTAGTATTTTATTGCTGGAAGCTATAATTTTGCGATAACAACTCAAAATGTGAACTTTTTACAGGATGCTAATGAGGAGTCGAAGTCTGTTACAAAAGCAGCTGCTATGAAAGGTGAAATGTTTCTTTCAGTCTTTATGTTTTTTTTTTTTTTTTTTGGAACTGTCTTTCAGTCTTTATGTTAAAACCCCACAATTGCTGATGGATTGGTGCCCAATTATGTTTCAAAGTAGATTAGCTTAGAGTCATTGACATAGCCAACTGCAGGCCAAGTTTGCCAACTATATTGTGACACTGACTCACTTGTATAAATTATAATGCACCAAATTTTAAAGCCTTTGTAGCAAGTAGCAAGTAGCAACAGTTTGAAAATTTAGATTTACTAGAACACCTGCTCAATTTTTATTGCAGTTCCTTATCTGCAACATCTCTGGAAGAAATTTATTTATTTTTAATATTTTCCCCTTTTGGGGCAGTAGCTCTAAAAGTTTCTCCTAATCATTTTCAGCAATCAAGAAGCGGATGGAGAAAGATGTTGATGAAGTTGGAAAGATTGCAAGGAATGTCAAAGGAAAACTAGAAGCAATAAACAAAGAAGTATAACCCTGTTCATTTGTTCCGGGATCTAGGAGCATTCTCTGTGAGAACAGTTAGTCTGTTACAGTTTTGTTTACTTATTAATTTTTCTTCCTCTTCAGAACATAGCTAATCGACAGAAGCCTGGGTGTGGAAAAGGATCAGGTGTTGATAGAACAAGGACAAATATGGCAAAGTGCGTTTGCTTGTGCAAAATTTGAATCTGAGTCTCAGATAAGTCCTATGTTCTTTGTTTAAGAAATAAATATAATTATTGCTTTTTTGAATTGCAGTTCCTTGACCAAGAAATTTAGAGACCTAATGACAGAATTTCAGGCATGTATTCAAACCTATAATTATATTGGCAGTTAGTTTTCTTTCATTTTCTTATTAATGTAACTTGTATCAGACTTTGAGACAAAGGATCCAAGATGAGTATCGTGAGGTTGTAGAGAGAAGAGTCATTACAGGTTCAAATACTATAGCCTGCCCACCAACTAAATTATAAAGTTAAAACTAATTTCATGATTTGAAGCTTATTTTTTATTTATCAATGGGTAATCACAATTATATTCTTGATATTGAACTTCTGGTTTTATTTCTTTTGATTGGAACAGTCACAGGAACCCGGCCAGATGAAGCGGTGAGCCTGGTTCTTGAAATTAATTTGAGCTCCAGTAGATATGGTTGCTATCATAATTGACCAAAATTTAATCTCTTTCTCAGACAATCGACCACCTTATAGAAACTGGAAATAGTGAACAAATTTTCCAAAATGCTATTCAAGAAATGGGACGAGGACAGGTACGGCTTCTTTATATATATATATATATATATATATATATATATATTTATATTATATTGTTGATTTTCATCTTTCCTGAATAGAATCTGACTGGTGGGAGATAAATCTGTAGTACCTCTTTTTATTTATGTTGTTTTGAATTGTACTGAAGTTTGAGCCTTAATGTTTCCATAAAAAATTTCAAATTGACTGGATCCTCTTGAAATGAATTGAGCTGTATACTATGTGTTGAATAAGATATTTAATCTTGCCAAGCATAAGTTGGTCTTTTTTTCCTGAGATATTTTTTGGTTTCCACCACGCTCCTCACTGGTTCATGAATTATCAATGACGTGAAACATTTATATACTAATATACGATTGGGATACTACTTGGACCTGAATTGCACGTTATCAATTTTAGAGGTGGTAGTATTATATTTTTTTTTTGGATATGATGACAATACAGTATTAGGAATCTTTTATTTTATTAGTATATTATTCTAGAATTTTGTAGGATCATTTGGGTCTATGTTGCACACAGGTACGGAACATGGAAGAAAGCCATATTAACACATCAAGGCACAACAATATACATATTGTATTTATGTATGCATGCATATATGTATATGTATGCGTATGTGTTATTACTTATTTCACTGTGCATATGCTCATGATTACTCCCTAGTCATCCCACTCTTATTATTATTACATCCTGTCATGCATCTCCTTTACACTAGCATCTTTTCAATGACCATAGTCCCCATTATTCAGTGTTGAACTTGTTAACTGAGGATGCTGGAGGATTGATTGGATTCAAACATAAACTTTGGCATTATTTGCACAAAGTGACGGTTGTCAGACTTGAAGCTGTATTTTTATACTTACAATTCTCAAAATCTCGTTTTCTTTTCTTTGCCTGTTGAAGAATGAGCCGGCGACTCATAGGCATGATAAGATATGTATCATTAACACTAAGGACTATAGCTCAGTTAGGTAGAGCACCCCCGGGAGATTGGATCTAGCCGGAGAATGCTTGGTATAAATAACTCCTAGTTTTTGATGTGATGGTTGCAGGTCCTAAATACCCTGGAAGAAATTCAGGAGCGACACGATACAGTGAAAGAAATTGAGAAAAAGCTTCTTGACCTGCACCAGGTATATTCTCATAGAAACCAAAGCTTGGACGTGCCTCAAACGCCCCTATTTGACATGGTTGTATTATGTTCTAGATATACCTTGATATGGCGGTTCTAGTGGAGGCCCAGGGAGACATGTTGGATAACATCGAAAGCCAGGTTTGATTCTATACACCTATCACTCTTTACATGTGGTTGTGTGCGCAATTGTGCTTATGGCTTTTGTGTGGAGCGAAAGGATGTTCTTTGCTTTATTTCAAGGTGTTAATGGGGAATCTTGTTCAGGTTTCAAATGCAGTCGACCATGTCCAATCAGGGACAACTGCACTTCAAAGTGCAAAGAAACTTCAGAGGAACTCTCGAAAATGGATGTGCATTGCCATTATTATTCTCTTAATAGTAGTAGCGATTATAGTTCTTGGTGTCATCAAACCTTGGAAGAGTGGCTAGGGTTGCATGAGTCTTATTACCTCTTGTCTGTGTACCATTAACAGTTTGAGTTGATTGGGAAGCATTTATAATTTAACCTTCTGCACGTGTGAGACGCAATTAGGTTCTTCTTTGGCGCGGCCTCTTCGTTTTTATTTTTTTCTTTTTCAAATTTTTTTGGTGTATAGTTTGGTGTGCTAATGGTGGTGCTATTTTGTGGATTTAAGATTCTGAACACAAATATACATTACCTGTTGTTTACAAGATGTGTGCTGGTATAATGTGACATTTGTTTGCTGGTACAATAATACAAACTTGCCGCGTCTTTTATTATTATTAATTTTTCTCTAGTTTTCGTTTTTATTTTCTATATGAAATTAAGTTAGATTATTCTGAAGGATCGATACTAACAGTCTCTCTCTGTCCCCATCAAATTGAATATTTTACCGTTTATTCCTTGGCTCTTCTGTTTTCTTATCAGTTGCAGACATTTTGATATGACGAAGTGTCAAAAGAAAATTTAAATATATTTATGGTGGAACCAATAAAAGAAGTTGATGATCGTATACATATCCTGTTTTCTTATTTCCATTAGAAAATATTAGCTGGTTCTTCACAAGTCTAGGGGGAAAAAATGTACCTTATTTTCTTTTTCGTTGGGATGATTTATTAACAGTTTTCCATCAAAAGCTAATGAATCATGTACTTTTAACATGTTACATATATATATATACACACAAACACACACACATACACGTGTGTATAAATTGTATCTAATTGATTTTATCTACACGTCAAGCTCTTTATGGTCTGCAACCCGTATTGACACAATTTGGGTAGACCAACTTGAACGTAAGCTGATTTTTCATGGATTTGGCCAACTATTTTTACAATTAGGATTGTGCTTTGTATTGAGGTGCAAGCAACTTGATTCAATTCGAATCTTATTTTTTTTTATTTTTATATATATATTTATTTAAATATATTATATATACACACACACATGTACATTTCAAATTATGGTCGGGTTGGTCTGGTAAGTGGTCCGTTTATTATTATGTTATACGATGTTGTCAATTATTTCAGTTGTGAAAAAGGAAAGTTATTCATCTTCTAGTTACGTAATTATGCATGGTGGTAGTGATGTGAATTCCAAGCATGTCAAAAAATTATGTAAGTTGCATAAATTGTGTTTATACAATATTTTATATGATAAAGTCTATGGCAACTCAAAATCAACCTGAAACTTTAGTTCGAGTTGCAAATCTAAATTTAACTTGAGTTAAAAAAATTAAGAATTGGTTGAACTTAAGTTTGTTAGCTCGGGTTAAATATAGGTTAGGATTGAACATTTCATATATCGTGTTAAGCTCGAATTGTATCTCCAATTTGTCTAAAGTTGCACCTCTAGCTACACATAATGGTAAAAGAAAAAAATATTGTAGCTTTGGTTGAGCATTTTTATGTGTCGCGGTGAGGGGGAGAGAGAAGAGGAGCTGTTGCCGGGAAACTCCATTGGTGTTCCTCGCAAAGTCCTCATAAATGTAATTTTGATTAGCACAAGTGGCATTTGGATGGTTGTGTGGAATGGCTCGAGTGGAATAAGAAGCAAAATGTAATCACTCGATCTTCTGTTGTTGGCTGGCAAATTGTGCTCCCTTTTTGTTTCCATTGTTTGACATCTTTCGGATCATGATAAAATAATACTCCCTTCATCTCATATTAGATATTTATGTTTAAAAATTGAAGTTTTGGAGGAGACATGTAATTAATGCATTGTCCCTTTTTAAAATTACCAACTTATCTTTTTTAGTTTAGATGTATATAATTACCAAGTTTGAAATTTTTTGAAAATATATAAGACAATGATGGAAAGATAAAACTTATTTGCTTTGAGTCAAAGTGAACAACTTATTTGGAACGTTTAAAAATGAGAAAATGGACTATTATGGGCAAGGCAGATATTTTTAGAATGAGCCCTAGATTCCATCAATAATTAGTGTTTTTTTTTTTTTTTTGGGTCGTATTTTGTATGGTAATTTCCTGGAAGAGCATATACGGATCCCTGGCCACTAAGAAATTGATTTTTTGGTCTCTATGAATATTTGACCTAGGTTATTATTGTGATCAGTTGTTACCCTCGCTCATTTGTTATTGCATAATTCACATGTAACAAAGTTAGACACGAATTGTAACAATACATGAAAAGGAATGAAAAAAAATCATCCCATGCATACTTCATTGTTGACTGGAAATTGTTGCTCCTCTCAAAGTCCCTTATTTTAAAACTTGGATCATATTCCGCTTCACCTAACAATAATCCATTTTTTATTAGGCAACTTGCTTCACTAGACACAGGTTATTTAATATGTAACTGTATATGAATTCACTGGATTGAAAAGTAAATTTGCCAACTTCCCATTTATCTCCCTTGATTACAGGTGACAAACGCTGTGGACCACGTTCAACTGGGCACAGATGCTCTAAAAACTGCAAAGAGCTTGCAAAAGAAGTCAAGAAAATGCATGATGATTGCCATTATCTTGCTACTTATTATCGCACTCATCATTGTGCTCTCCATTCTGAAACCATGGAAGAAATGAAAATAGAATGCAAACGAATAGTGATCTAAGTTCTACTTGAGTATTGTTTTTCTGTTACTTATTTACTTTAGTGCATATAGAACAAGTCTAATAACCACCATCACGAGCACTAGTTGCTCTGTCCTCCTTTCCTCTTATTTCTAACTCATTCGTTGATCTTTGTATTATGTTTTTTTTCCAGAAACAGTAATAAAACATTCAGAGAATGTGTTTGCGAGTGATCATTTCAATCCTCCCGCTTTTATGAATCATTTTAGCTGACATCTTTAAACAAACAACAATATTTTTCCTAGTAGATTTCAGGTATCAGTCAAAACAGGCAATTGCTGAAGTTCGGTTGATGAGCACAGCTGAATTTTGAGGTAAGATTTATTCTTTCCCCCCTTTTGTTTTTCTTTCTCTAGGGGAGGGGGAGGGGGAGGGGGAGGGCGTGGGGGAGGAGGAGCGGAGTAGGTCCATAATTCTTGACACCTACAATATGTGCAAACAGATAAAAACTGCTATAACCACATCATTTGAACTAGTGTCATTTGCAAGCTTACTTACTGCCTTGCTATAACATCTCCCGTCTGCCCTTTAAGCACTCCAGTGTCCACTACAAAACAAAATTAAATATCATCAGTAGTGCAATTCACCTTCTTTTTTTCTCTCTCTCTCTTCTTGAAAAATGAAGCATGTCAATCCCAAGGTATGGGTACCAAGAAGGATTATAGCCCAATGGTAACTACTCTACCTCCCAGTGTGGAAGGTTGAGCGTTCAAATCCCTATTGGGGTAAAGTGTGTGTGTGCCTTGTTTGCTAGAAGGAAAGGAAGGGAGGTGGGGAATTTCAAGGTATAGTTGATTTTTTACATAATATTCAACGTCAGACCAACAATCTTGAACACATAAATTCTGATCTCTATAAGATGATTCCTGAATGGGGGGAGGAGAAGAAAGAAAAAAAAAATGCCCAAGGAGAGTTGGAAAAGTCTTCTGAAAGACACAGTGATTTGCTCATTGTTGGAAACTAGGAAGTGCAAAAGCAAATTGAAGGAAGTCCGACTCTTTTAGTGTTGAAAAACATTAGGGCATAGACTGATAAGACTACTGGAAGTGGCACCACAACCCACCATGGGAATCCTCTAAAATAAAAACCTGTCCTGTCCCCGGAAAGATGCATAAATCATAACACATAATGCAAGCCATGCATTGTTCAGATGTTTTCTTTAAGATTTTTCATACTGGGATCATGGGATGCAAGTAAATGCTTTGGTGGAGGAAATTGTAGTGAATGCAAGTAAATGCTTTGGTTGAGGAAATTGTAGTGATACAATAAAACAGAATCACATAGAACTCCACAGCCCACTTTTTTACCTGGCTGTACTGACTTGCCACACAATCAATTTTTAGTTCCAGAAAAGCATGTCTCATTTACACACACCAAACCACATTAGCAAACTTCTGTAAACAGGCCATTTCCCCGTAATAGTCCAGCACCTCATGCTGAGAGGAGACTGTATACACAGATGCTTAAAGGTACTATTCTCACTTGCAAACCTATTTCTCATTCTTGGCAACTGAGCACTTGACCATCATGCCATCAAATTGACAAAAAAAATTGTTCTTTCAGCATTCTATTCTTTAACAGTAAGAGGTACCTCTTTTTTCAGTCACCATCAACCAGAAAAACAAAAGGCATCTTAGAACCCTCAACCCCCACTCACTCTCCCAACAACCCAACAAGAGCAGAGTTTTTAATTCAACTCCAGGATAAAGTTCATCTGGAACTCTAATAGTACCACAACACTCAGGGCTACCATGCAACATTGATTTGCTGGACTTGGTTTATAAAAATCGAGGTATTAAGCAAGAGCTCAAAATGCTAATAAAGAATAGCCAAGTTTTTTCAGTTCTTCATTCTCTTTCAGCCAAAGAATGGCATTTATCCTCCAACTTATCTGGATATATTTTGTTAACTTATAGACTGCAATTTAGGGATAATCCTTGTGCAATTAATACATCTCAGCTTTTTGGAGTCCTTAAGATAGGAGCCCATAAGCGACTTATCAACTGAAAAAAAACAAAGGAGCCAATAAGGGCTGTCATCTGTTTCAAGAACACATTCATGTCCATCATCCTCTCACCTCAACTATCACCAGTGCCTAGATCTTTCAGTTCTCTTCCTCCAATTTTTTTACTTTATCTATCATTGTGGATGTATATGTAGACAGAAGCACTGCATTTACAGCACCAGTAGTAATATCAAAACCAAAGGCCCTTTACTCGAAATGCTCTAAGTCTAGCTTCTAACAAAGAGTAAATGTCCGAACATCATAATCCTCCCAACTTCATTCAATGTTACTTTTCAAATGACCCCATAGTTTGCACATATGAATAGCACAAAAAAAAAAAATGCTCACAGAAGACACAAGCGCAAATGTCTATAAGATATGACACACTTAGATGTGATTCTAGAGTTTCTTACCATAATTCCTATGCAAAGCCTACAAGCTCTTTAGAACAGTAGTTGAAGGCTGACCATGGCATCCATATGGGGCCATGGGGGTGAGCAATTAAGGGTACAATTCTCAAAAAGGTTCCTATCATCCCTATACAAATTTAGTATCTTTCGAGATATAATGTATACCTGAACTTCTTTATTTCGTGATTCAGACATTCCCGAATAATCCATCCAATCAAGAAGGAAATGTTCTACCAAAACTAGAGATACCAAGAATTAAATCAAACTGATGGTCAAGAAGAGTTATATACCCTTAAGCAGCACAAAAAATTCTAATAAGGAATCATATCTATATTAGACACGTGTCCCTTGGACACTCCTGGGAACTAATACATCTTGGAAGTGTCTGAGATTTTAAAAATTATAAAATTTAGAATGACCAAAACCTCTTGGAACAATGTTAATATGTGACCAATAAACCTTGAACTTTGGTATGAGTCGTATGACTTCCTTTACGTATGTAAAAAAAATATAACTGTAATATAAAATCAAATTCAAGGTTTAAATATAATTTATATATAAACAAAAGATATAAGGAGATTCTATTGAAGGATTGAGTATGGGAGTAAGAAAGAAGACATTAAAGTTGTGTGCACTCATATGCATACATACCTAAATATATACACAAACAAAAACATGTATACATCTATATGTTGTTTTCTTGGTATGTCCTATCTATGTGACAAGATAGATTACAATTATATGATTTAAGAGTTATATATTTAATTTTACAGCCACAGAAATATTTATTTATTGTATATAAAATAAAAATTAATGTTACTGACATGTCCTTCACATTTCCAGGTATTGCTTGTTTAAGACTTCCCATGTCAACATATTTGTGTTTTGTCATGTCTACATGTAGCATCCATGTCCATGTTTCTTAGGTGGGCTCAGACGAGTACAACAAAAGCAGATTTATATATATACGTATAAATTAGCAACAAGTGAGATACAAAAATGCTACCAAAAAGGAAACCAAGGAAAATTAAGAGAATATAACATCTATTCTAATTTAAGGATCAAATATCATTTAACCAATTAGTTGGAGAAATTTTACAGTATCAATGTCATTTTGGCCATGGAAGCTACCATATAATATTCAAAATATGGTAGTGCTGATTAAATATTATATTCCAATTCGAATGTCCAGATTGTATTTCTAAAATTAACATTATCAAACAAAATTAGATACTTAATAAACTAGAAATCAACCTCTGGTTCTTCAATCAAAAATCCTGAACTGTACATACATATATGTGTAGCGAACCATAATTGTCTAGAATTCAGAAATTTACAGTGGTATCAGAATAATAACCAAAGTTTATCTTTGTCCAACCAAATGACTGCAGTGCAACACTAAGAGAGAGAGACAGAGAGAGACACTATATTTTTAGCAGATGAAAAGAGATAATCTTATTTGCTCAAATCTATTTCAACAAGGGATAAAGCATGGATGGGTCAACGTAACTGATTACAGTGAGACACAAATGGACATGAGTAAGATAAACATGTGTTCTTTTTCTTTTATTTTTTATTTTTATTTTTTATGTGGAGGAACCTAAACAGCTTTGCAGGAGTTGACACAGAACAAAAGTTTGCTCACACCCTTAAAACTGACAGGAACACTCTACTAACTTAAGCTTATGACAATTTTATCCTGGTTCAAGTCGGATGCATTATGAGTAATTCAATTCTGTGGCAAAAAATATTCAGTACAAAGTTAACTTTATTATGAACAACTTTATCTTGAAGTAAAATACATGCAAACATGGCCATGTTTTATATTCATAACAGTAAAATAACTTAGTCTCTCTAAGAGAGCATAAAAGGAAAAGAAAAAATTGATCTCACTAATATATTGGAGTCTTGGTAATGGAGTAAACTTCTTTCGAACTCACTTTATAACATCACAATTCCTTGCAGTTTACCATACTAACATTAGTGTTAAACATGCTTCTAGATTAAAGGAAACAGGCTTTTCCTATCAACAACTCAGAAAATGAAAATTCCATGGAGCTAGTAATTAATGCTAATGGTTAAAAAGAAATGAACTTGAAAAGCAATGGATATCCATGCTACACATGAGAAATTCAGCCCTGCAGCTTAAAACTTGGAATCTCCATGACCTGAAATATACTCTTATTTATCTTCTGGATCAGGTATACATTCTTTTCTTTTATTTTTTTTTATTTTCTTTCCCCCTCCTCCCCCTTTATCCGTACAACATCAAGCACTTGACTATAACTGGAAACGGGTTTACTTCTAGCAATCTATTAACACTAATAAGGCAATATAAAGGCCAAACCTACTAAATACAGAATAGTCCAAAAGGATTAAGGTTTAGTTTTCTCTGACCTCTTAGCAAGCAGATTATGAAACAAGAAGTCATAGTTCGAAAGAACATATATGAATATATTCTGCACAGCATGCAATGAAATTCCCATAATGCATTTCCAATCTCCCTTGTACTAAAAAACCCATCTTATCATGCCCCGCAGCAATCAGTTGGATCTTCATACACACTTTTTTGCCCCATTCACCTAAAATCTATCGAGTAGACATAGATTTTGACAATAACAGAGCACAGGGTCACAATATTCGCACAAACCAATCCTACAATTTGGATCCACTTAGACTGACATTCAAACAAGCAAAACCCAGAAGACCCATCAGAAGCAAAATTCACCATAATGTCCACCTTTCATAGTTACTTTTATCATTCCTCTAACACAAACCATGCCCTCAATAATTATTATAAGAAAGGGCATCTTAATCTTAAGAAATCTAAATCCATAGCTCTGTCACTGTCAGATAACATTAAACAAAACCATATCCTTGCATGCATATTCGGCGTATACGTGTGTGTCGATTAAGCTATACAATGAAATAGATGTTGATTTAAGATGTTGTGCCTCTAACAATTGCAAATCCAAAAAAACAAAGATCTTTTGGTATTTAACTGGAAGGGATTGAGAAAGCTTACCTTCATCTGCGTATGGTGCTGCGACAGAGAGATCTTTCTTCGCGAGGGCTTGCGAAAAGCAGATCTTCAAGAGAGAGTTATGGCAATTCATAGAATGATTTTCATTTCGACAAATACATGTGGAGAGATCTGAAACCCTAATTTACAACAAAAATGAGTGAAATTAGATCAGACAATTGAGTTGGTGGTATACATAGTGTATACGAACGTTCAGATCTTGTTGCGGACATGTTTGTGCTTTAAAAATTTCCACCATGAATCTCACTTGTCAACGCGGCAGAGAGAAGAAAGCGATAGTCGAGCACATCATAGAGAAAAGGTATTAAAATGATAAAGGTCATTAAAGGTTATACTACTTAATTCTCCATTTGTAGAAAAGAATAATTAATGGTTATTAAAATACAAAAAATTATCTGAAAAAGTATAAAATTTAGGCTAATTGATTATTTAAACTTTAATTAAATTTGAGAAATTCATCTCTATACAAATTCAATTCCTTGAAATTTTTTAGGATTATTATGCCATGATTACCAAAACTGTAACTTCCAACTCAAATAGTGAAAGTGAAAAAGTGAATGTGTTTTTTGGTCAAGATGATAATAATAATAATAATAATAATAATAATTGAAAAAAAAAACTCAGTAGCTACTTCTAATTATTTTTTAAATAACAATAAATGTCTTTAAATTTTATTTTTGACAAATAATCTTTAAACAATCAAATTTGGTCCAAACAATATATATATATATATATGATGGTTGACCTGTTTTCAATCGAAAATGAATCTTTTCGAATCAATTTTTAAAAAACTTATCGTGTCATTTAGCTTTCCGAAGATTTAAACGGTTTTCATAATCAACGAAAACCCTCTTTGCATTATATTTAATCCTATGCATTAGAATATTTTGTGCATCATAATTGATCCTATGCATTAGAACCTTCTCTGCCTTAGAAGAGTGTTTCAGACATATTTGAAAACTTCAAGCTTTAATTTTTACAATTCAAAAGATAAATAAATAATGTATTTATAATTCCATTATATCTATCAGTCATGGTTCTATCAAAGACCATCATTCAGTGTATTTATGGCTTCATTCAACCAAATATCTATCCTATGAACTGTTTGAAAGGATTTTGATTCCTTAACCAATCTAGTGATTGCCTTGTTCTTTCACATTTCACTCGGGATATTCTTTTTAAGTAATTACAAAACTCATTCAAATATGAGAGAAATAACTGAAAATTGCAATACAAGTTTGTCTTTAGTTGGTAAAATAAAACAATAGAGAAATTTAAGTGAAACTTGTGAATTGCATATGAATGCAAAACATAATGAATTGGCAATTTGGTTCATCAACCTATTCTGGAGTACTCTGAATTGGCAAATTTCATAATCCTCTACATTATACATACATGTGTATCTATATATATATTATTTGCTGTAATCCATTGCATTGTTGAGCTTAAGATCGTTATGGAAAGCAAGTAGTTCAAAAAAAAAAAAGTTTTGCATTACAAGCATATAACATAAACCAAAATACAAGATTTGAGTCATAACTCTTCTTAATGAAGGCTCCAAAGAGCTAGTGTGAGCCAAAAAGTGCCCAAACTGGCCCAATCAACTATGGAAATTATTGAAACATATTATTATACTTCAGTTCCATAAATTGAAACTAGAGAAAATTCCAAGCTCCCCTGCACCATACTCCAGTAGCTCTCTTACATTCTTGCTTTCGCAATCACGACACTGCCATCACCCATGTCTGTTGCCCCTGGCCTAGTCCATGTCTCCTTGAACTGCTCCTCAGTCACCCCTGAAAATTACCAACATACATTACATCATGTGTGTGTGTGTGTTTGTGTGCGTTGTACTTAATGTGCACTATGCAACAATGTGTGAAGAACTGAGAGTAAAGGAGAGGGTATACAATTTTACCTTTTCCCATTGCAGCAGTTGAACTGATGCCTCCCTGGACAGTCTTGAGGACCCTGTCATAGTAATTTGCACCGGACCATTTCTGATGAGCCAGTGTGTCCACTCCATGGTTCCTCTCCTCTCTCTGGATCTTCTCCACATAAGCCAGCATTCCCCTCCTAGAGAAGTCCTTAGCAAAAGTGTCGACAATGAGTGCATCAGCATGGAAACCAGCCAATGTGATGAACTGCCAAACGTAGCCCAGCTTGGCAATCCGGGGAATGAAGTCCCTCATCTGTTCATCATTCATTCCTGATGCATCCCAATTGAAGGAAGGGGAGAGATTATAAGCCAACATGGTCTCAGGATGCATTGATTTCACTCCTTCCGCGAACTTGGTGCATTCAACCATATCCGGGCTGGCAGTTTCCATCCAAATGAGGTCTGCATGTGGAGCAAATGCCCAGCCACGAACAACGGCTGCCATTACAGACCCTTTGAACCTATAGAAGCCTTCTCTGGTTCTAGGCAAATCCCAGTCCCAGAAAAGATTGTGAAGCCCCAATCTCTCAGCAATTTCTCTGCCTTGCTCATTTGAAAGGCAATTGTTGTAGCTGGAATGGTTCATCCACTCATTCATCCTCCTCCTCTTCTCAGCCTCACTTATGTTCGTGTTCTTGATTGCATCCACCACACAATCTGAAAATGTCTTCAATTGTGCCATTGACAGCCAGTTGTCCTCAATGGCTTGAAGCTCAGCTCCGGTTTTGTTAGCAGCCATTGCTTCTGATAGGAGAGTAGCCAAGCTCTTACCCTTGAGGTTTGGGTTAGTAACACCCAAAATGAACTGGTGATCCCTGGTGTCAATATTGGTCTGAATCAAGGTGGCTGCAACTGCATCGGTTCGCGCCACCAAGACCGTCTCAACCCCCATGATATCAAACTGCAGCCTTGCAGCCACAAGCCTATTGATATGCTCACTAACTGCAACAAGAACTTTGCCAGCCATGTGGCCACATTTTTTGGTCACTGAGGACTGGTCCTCAATGTGGACACCAGCAGCCCCGCGCTCCACGAAAAGCTTGCAAAGCTTGACAGTTGCAGTTGCACCACCAAATCCAGTATCACCATCAGCAATGATGGGCTTCAAGTAATCGACAAATGGGGTTCTAGCCCTTTCATCTCGGCTCATGTTCATTCGAGCCTCTCTCTGCTTTCGATCATGGTATTGCTGAGCAAAAAAGAGATGCTCAACCTTGTTTGGCACAGTGTCATATGGGTAATCAGCCAGGTCTGGACCTGGCTCATTGGTGGATGTGTGGGTTGATGAGCACTGCCAACCGGAGACATAAATGGTGTCCAAGTGCTTGGCCATCATGGTGACTTGAACAGGATCGAGTGCACCAAAGGTCCTTGAGGCACTGCCATTGGCTTGGTGAGTCTTGAGAGTCCTCCACAGCTTCTTGGCGAGCTCATTTGAGCCGTAGCTCTGCCTGAGGTTGCCACGCAGAGCCACAACATCCCTAGCTGAATATGGTCGACGGGTGAGCTTGAACCTCTCCGAGTTCCACCATGCTTGCACCTCTGCTACTTCTGCTTGAAACCTCCCTTCTTCCTCCATAATCTGTTCATAAAATTTTGACTCAGTAATGCAAATTTCATATATTTTTTAATCAAACTGAGCTCAATTTCTTATAAAAAACAATCACGCTCCATTTTTTTATGAGATCAGAAATAATATGAAAAGCAACAAAAGTGGATTGTGCTAAGCACTATATGCGCCGTCACTTATTCGCTCATCAACTCATCAAGATCAGTTGTTATCACAGGATCTGAGAGAAGAAAGGCCTATTTAGACAATCTAATTTTGGTTTCTCTCTCTGCCTCAGTTGGACACATTCACATCAACCCTGTAAATTCACAACACTCGAGGCCCTTGGAGAGAATGGTTTCACAAGAAAAATCAAAGCAATTAAATTCCTATAGAATTTCTATAATGATTAATTAGATCAAGAGGAAATATAGGTATTACTGTTTGGCAAGTCTAGAAAATGATAAGCATTTTGCTGAAAGGGACATCTCTTGCTCTTTTGGTTGGGGTGGGGTAAGAGCATCAAGAGGAATACAAAATGGCATGAGTCTACTTTCAAAATATATTTTATCTTCCAAAAGCATATATGTCAAATGTCAGATCCCCATAATAAATATTTTCCTGAAATTTTTGAGTGAGCCAATCTCTCCTCTCTCTCTATATATACACTTATAGATACACCAGAACATATTGAAAGACTTCTCATAACAGATTATAGAAATTTCAATAATTTTGTTTAGATCTGCTAAATTAACAACAAAACAGAATGTAAAATAGAAGAAAGAGTGGATGCTGATTCTCCAACATCTAAACAAAATTTGTTTTCTTTTGGAGAAAAGCTAAAACAATTTCTTGGTGTATCTTGCAACAACAAAAAAAAAAGACACCATCTCCCTATATTTACCAAACAGACTATACTCTTGAACACATCAACATGAGTGTGTGTCTGTGTGTGTGAGACACAGAGAGAGAGATTACTAGTATAGGCTATAATATATTGTATTTCTAATGGTCTATATATATTGTATAGGCATGTATCTGCCCTGCCCTTTTGTCATTGCCATAAAATAGCAGGGCAGGATCTTTTACAACTAAAATTTGTGCAATTCATAAGAAACCAATCAAACCAAAGCCATGATCAGTGCTTGACAAGCTCAAAGCGAAGCAGAAATTTATTTTATTGAAAGAAACAAAAGCTAATGTTGAAAATATTGCAAGGCCAATTGCATAGAATAGATTAAAAAAAAAACATTTTGAATCCATGTGTAATGAGACATGCAAAGGAAAGAAAGAAATCAAACTGAAATTAGAGGGCGAAGAAGAAAGGGTTTGATAGCATACCATTGAAGGTGCTGAGAAAGATGCAGCCATGGTAAGAACTCTAAATGTGTGTGTTTTTGTATCTAAAGCTGTGTGTATATATCTATACAACTACTACTATGAGATGTTCATGCAATGGCTTTGCCAAGTACCCCCTTATTTATAACACATGGAACTGGCACCACTTTGAAGATAAGGGAAAAAGTAAAAGAAAAAGAAAAAAACAAAAAACAAAAACAAAACCCAAGAAAAAATTGCAGCATCTCTCCTTCATTTATGTCTATCTCTTATTGGTTTTATCAGTATTATCTTCCAGATAAATGAAACTTGGCTAATGCACCTGCAGTTGCAGGCACGTAAGCTATGGCGGTTTTGCTATTGTGCGCCACCCTATAATGCTTGTCTTCTTCCTCCTTGGGTGACCTCACCAATTTTTTCTTTTTTCATGAAAAGTAACTGCTTCTGTTTTTCGGTTTATGTTGTTTTTTTTTATCATTATTGTTCAACCACCGCGTGAGGATCTCAAAAATTACAACTCAATGTATTAATTGTTTGAAATAATAAAACTTAATAAAGTTGTAACCATTCAAGAATTAATTTCAAAATATACTTTATGTTTTCAACATTAATCTAAGAAAAATGATTTTTTTTTTAAAAAAAAAAAAAAAATGCTCGCTTCGGACATGTAAATTTTCACTACTTATGACCTAATTCTGCCACTTTCATCCTTAAAGTGTAAAAACAAATAATTAATAAAAAAAAAAAATTAAAAAAAAAAAAGGTATGTTAGTATAAGAGTTCTTTCGCAACAAAAGGTATGAGCTCTTTTGTTTAATTCTAACATTAAAACATATTTTTTTGAAAAACGTTAAAAGTCAAGTGAGTTATTTAATTAATTTTTTGATTTATTGGTTAGATAAAAGAGTTCAACATGAGAGGAACTCATATGATAGCATTATTTTTACTAAAAATAAACTTAATAGCTACATCCAATGTTAACATGCTTGATGTGAATAAATTTTTTGCTCATAGATAAATAATAGATTATTTCTAGTTTAAAGGAGAGACATTGAATTAATTATTACATTCTCAAACAAATTACAAGGAAAGTTTCATTCTATTCTACTACATTATGGCCCCTTTAAAGCTATTGTTAAGACAATGCATAAGGATTGGCATGAGATCTAGAGGAGTTTGAACAAATTAAAATGTTCCACTCCTACTATTAAAAATTAATTAATGATTTCTACGAGTGTTTCAATCAAAGTTTTATGTTTTTTTAGTAAATAGAAAAGTGAAAAGTTCTAAAGTAAATGAAAAACTTTGATTGGAAGGGCGCGTGGTAAAAAATTTCATAAACAAAATCTCTCTAGTGTGCTGTTTGATACATCAAAAAAATGCTTCTTGTGTGAATCGGCCAAAACTAACAAGGTACAACAGCTTGGTAGACCAACAAAAGAAAAAAAAAAAGTTCCATTATAGAAAAATAAAAGAGTTAAAATTATAAAATCCTCACAGTAGAATTTATAAATTAAAAAAAATAAATCCTTAAATTAATAAAACTTATCAAGTTACTACCAAACTTGTGAGGCCGTGACCAATCTCTGGTGAGATAACAACCCAAAAATTAAACAATATTATTATAAAGGGGCATTTTTGTAATTTTGAAATAATAATTATAGTTTTTAATTTAATATTAAATAGCAATGTCAAATTTGGCATTTCACAACCCATTTAATGGGTCGGTCACGAATTTCGAATACTTGATACATTTTGTTAGTTAGAAGATTTTTTTATTTTTATTTTTTAATTTTTACCAGGCTTTTATGCACTATTTTAAAGTAAAAAAGAATTTTATGTTTTAACCCAAAATAAAAAGACTAAACGTGGAATAAATAGAGGGCACATCAAGGAAGTCTTCTCAATTTAATAATTAAATGAGGATGACCTCTTATGTTGGAATCCTATATCATTTACTCAACATATGGAGTAATACATAACTTACTAATCAGCTATTTAAAGTAATCAATACATGTAAAATTATCAAATAGGCAATGTAAAGTTATTACATTGGCACAAGGGAAAATTAATTACCATTCATAAAATTTTGGAATAATTAATAAGAAAACAAGTGTCAAGTTCCATTTACAAGAGTTCTATAGAACTTCTTTAGATTTCGAAAGGTTTTAATGGTTGAAAGGGAGCATTTTTTTCATGAATAATTAAGATGATAACCTCTTTTCTTTTTCTCAAATTAACATTTTTAATTAGAAATATAAAACTATGTAATTTAAAGATAATATTTACCTGCTCACTAGTGAATACGTATCCCGACCAATACAATCCAATTACAAATATACACTTATCATTTAATTAAAAAATTAATAAATAATTAAAGAAAATTATTTCGGAGTGACCCGACTTCCATTCTTTTTTCTTTTCAATTTTTGAATTAATAACTAAAAGTAATATGTGTACCTCTACTCACATTAAAGAAGATCCGCATGTTATCTATTACTAGATCGTGTGAAGAGGAATCTGCATGGTGTATACAGCCAATCTTCTAAGAATTAGAGTAATATCAATATGAATTTTTAATCAACAACAGATATACCGAATAACAGTATTGTCAGGTCGAGTTGGTTTTGCATCAACTCTCTAAAGACCACAACTTCGTGCAATTTCGCCTGTACCATAAGAAAACACTTACAGAAGTTGTAAAATACCCTTCTCTATAATTTTTTTATTTTTTTTTTTGACAATAAATACCTTTAATTTATCAAAAATTACAAATTACTTTCTTTGATAGTCGAACATTGACATTCTAGTATTAAAATGGTCACGAGAACAAAATGTTTGGACAAAAATTTCCTTATGTATGCAACAAATACCATCAACTTCTTATATATATAATTTATTATATAGGAAAAACATGGACGTGAGTAAAAGTATTTTTATTAGAACATTCAGTTTTATGTGTCACGTGCAGCCACTTTCACACCAAAATTCTAATGTCAATTTTGCTAGAGGGTAGTAATTTCAAACTTTTGATATATTAAAGGTGTTTGTTGCCAAAAAAAATAATAATTGAGAGAGAGATTTTGTAACATTTTTTTTAATAGAACAAGAAAATTTACTACAATCTCACCTAACATTTAATCTCACTTAACATATAAGGTAACTTGATTCAAACTAGTAATGTACTCCCTCTGTTTCATATTAGATGTTCATATTTGAAGTCAAACTTTTTAAGAGATTGATCTTTAATATGTTTTATTACATTATAATGAATTAACTTTCAAATTTACCTTTTGTTTTGAATTGGTGGGATTTATACAAATATTTATCCTTTTAAATTTAAAAGAGGGTAAATTAGAAAATATAACAAAATAAAATAGATTGAGTTTTGAAATGTTACAATTATTGTGGGACAATTAAAAATAGAAAGAGTAAACAACTATTTGATATCTAAGTCTAATAAAGGGATGTTATTAAGAGGACACTCCATAATAAGAGTAAAGGACTCTCCATGTTTAATCATTAAATTAAATGATGTATTAAATTATTTATTTGATTTTTAATAATTTTTATAAAAGTCTCATAATTAGTAATTAAATTAAAAAAATCCATGAATAGTGTTATTAAAAAAAAAAAAAGTCTCTAACAAAAATTCATGATTCGTGCTATCTAACCAAATATTTCTGATTAATTATTTTTATATAATACAAGTAAGTAAATAATTCTACTCTTTTTACAATTGTATAAATAATTAATTAAATATAATATATCTAATAATTCATTACAACAAATAGATATAAATATCATTTATCTTACCTAAAATAACGGTAACAAACCCACCAAACGGGACAGACCTAAAGCCCCTCATTCGGTGGGTTTGCTTTGCATCATTGCTATACACATGCTACTGATAGCACAGTCAATATTTGTGTACACGTAACATGGGATTATGAAAATGATACAAGAAGTGTAGACGTAACCAAACCGGTCAAGTAAGGATGCGTTCAATCTCTCTATTCTATAGACATTGTTCTCTCTCCAAGTGGTTGCAGTTCCACGGCTCATTCTGGAGGTCCAATTGTATTTCCTTCTATATATCTATAGTATTTTTTAACACTCAAATTACAGTAGTATAATATAACATATATATATATATATATATATATAATTATATAGTATTTATTTTTATTTTTATCTTATTTTATTTTACTTTTGTGGTAAAGAGTGCGTCAACGATTGTGTACTGAGGTGGTGGTTGTGTTGTGCATAGTTTTTGATATTTAGATTCCCGAGGAGCCCTATCTTAATACAAAGCTTCCCATTCCTCAGGCTACGCGACAGTTCTCAGTCGGTCCTAATCCCTCAAATGCTTTGCACAGCACCACCTTGCATGCCTTCCTTAAATATGGACAATACTATGTCTCCGCGAAAAGACATATTCCCTCCTTCTCACAATATGTGTTCCGTATCGAGAGTTTAATTTTTTTTTATAATAATAAAGTTTTAATAATTTTTTATTATATTGATAAGAGTGAAGTTTTAAATATATTTTTATTAAAAGATAAAATAGTGTTTCGTAATTAGTGTAATTATTTAATTAAAAGGATAATTTGATAATATTATAAAAAATAGTATATTCAATTTTAGAATAAAATATGTTTTTTGAGACATTCCAAAATAAAAAGATGGATAACTATTTTGGGACGAAGGGAGTAATATAAAATATAATAACGAGAATTGTATAGGTCTTTATAAGTGAAAATCTAAATACTGTCTCTCATCGATTTAGTTTATTTACATGTGGGAGCTAGTAAAATCAACTTATACAAGCATGCCTCATTCTTGTAAATAATTGAATGCTCATGGTAACAAGAGTTAAGATGAGACTTTGATTGATTATCAATTTATATAAAATAATGTAAGAAACTAAGTTTGTATCAAGTATTCTTTTTTTTACCACTTGTTTAAGCAGAATCATATGATTTTTGACATTTTATTAAAAATTGTACATCTTTTATCGCCTTTTATGTTGTGTGTCAAATATTAGGTCTGATAAACTTTGAATATATAAATACTCAATCGGCTTTCCTAGGTAAAATATTAGAATAATTCTCTAATTAACGTATAAAGTGTGATACTCGTGAACTAATTTAAATCACTCCTTAATTTTGACATACATTTTTTATATAACAAGAATATTGAATCTATTAGTTAATTGATTATTAAAATTTATAAAGTTGTTAATGCACTTGTGTACGCACACCATCCTCATTAATTTGATGTTTTTTATCGTGGGTTTTTTTTTTTTTTTTTTCATGATGTGAGTGTTTTCATCATAATTATAGTTATATATATTTCTCTGTATACATGCATGCATATACAAGTACTGTTACAAAGAAGTGTCGTTTAGTATGAGAGAAACAGGTAGGATGGATGAGGATCAGACGTCACGAACGTGGGGTGATAAAGATGATTGTGCATTGCACCGTTTAACTGTGTACGTTAATTAAGAAGAGGATGATGCTTTTATTTTATCTGGTCCATGCGCGCATGTATACATACATGTGTGTGTGTGTGCGCGCGCGTGTTTGTGTGTTTGAATAATGATAGATGGATATATAGAT